CCCAGGGTTCAGTTGGCCACTTGGGCTCCCAGGACTCACTGCTGGCTCAGATTCCACTTACTGCTACTGCTCTTTCTTTGATCAGCAGATACAAGTCCAGTGGTTACCAACCAAAAACTTCTAGGAAAGCCATTTTTTTTACCCTCTTTCACTATTTTCTTTTATGATAAGCTTTCTTGAGCATCTTAGCAACTTTTGCCCATGTGGAAAGGTGATGAAGGAGAATCCCTTTCAGCCTCTCTGGCAGCCCTTGATCTGGGCAGTCAGTGTAACATAAGAAAGAAGCAGATGTCACTCCACATCTCAGACTGATATACTCTTATATTCTCTTATTCTCTTATAATTACCCAACTGTTTGCAAACCTTTCCTGTATGAATTATTCTTCTGGCTCAAGTATACTCTTAGATATCTTGCATGTCCTCTCATGGTTTCTTATCATGTAAGTGTTTCCAAGTGTCATCCAGGCTTTTCCCTCAGGCTCCCTTTCTTTGTCACTGCTGCATGGATCTCTAAAGGCCCTTTTGAGGCTGCCATCACTTGTTACCTGAGAAACCTTTCGGGAGCAGCTGCTGATGGGTCCTTTCTTCAAGTTAAAGGACACACAAAAACATGTTACTCCACTTGCTGCTGAATTTCTGGGAGCATCTAGAAACCATGACAGATGCATAGGACTGCACTTAGCCCACAGCCCATCTTAATTGTGAAGTACATCTTGCTAAGGGCCATGACCTGAAGCATTAAGAGCTCAAGTCAATTCTGCTTTGTACAGATGTTGAAGAGTGAGCATTAGCAATAACTACTTTAGAGGATCTGCACCAAGATATGCTTTTCTTAGTTGATCTTGGAGTGGCTGACAGTGATGGTGCAAGGGTCATTTGGTAACAGCAACACAGTACAAAGCAGTGCTAGATATAGGAGTAAATCTGGGCCACTGTTTCTTTCAAGACTAAACCCATAAAGTATTAAGCCTTTGGTTCTGTTGTGGCTTAATCCAGCAGGGAGCTCAGCCCCACGCACCAATTTGCTCACTGCCCTGCAGTGGGGTGGAAGAGAACATGCGAAAAAATGGAAGAACTCAAGACTTGACATAAAGACAGATTAATAGAAGGAAAAATAATAACAACAACAAACAAACACAGAACAAATTATGCAAATGCAATTGCTCACCAGCCACTGACAAGATGCTCAGCCAGTCCTTGAGGAGGGGCTGCACCTTCAGGCAACTCTCCCAGTTTTTTGTTCAGCATGAACAATATGGGATAGGATAGGACTTCTTTTTGGCCTATTTGAGTCAGCTGTCCTGCTTCTGTCCTTTCCCACCTCCTTGTGCATCCCCAGTCTCCTTACTGGCAGGGCAGTATGGGAAGCTAAAAAATTGTTGACTCATTGTAAGTACTGCTCAGAAACAACTAAAACATCAACGTATTATTAACATTCTCATCCTAAATCCAACATACCAGCCATTATGGAGAAAAAGGCTCTGTATGGGCCAAAACCAAGACAGGTACTGATGTTCTTGCTGAAGATGAAACAAACAGAACATCTACAAGATTAGGGAGACAGAATCTTGGGGAAAAAAAACAACAACACCACCTTTGTTCTTTAAAAATAAGATTAACAGCTATCGTGCTTTGGAATCAGCAAGATGGTTATGTTTTATAAAACAGTTTACAGACTTGTCTCTATATTTTTTCCTCTTAATCCACATCCATTTTACTGTTATTCGATGCATTTTAGAGCAAGACTGTGTCGTTCACAATGCTACCAAAATATTCTGTCAAAGCTCCTAGCATAATCTGATTCAAAATCTTGTAAGGTTTGTTTGTTCAGAAGCTTCAGTTCTCAATTTTGAGTACACTCAATTAAGAGTAAATGTAATCATTGTACTAAGCTAAATAAGAAAATTAGCATTTGTCATTGATACTCACAAACCATGGCTATTCTGTGGTGCATCTAAACAGATCTGCAAGATAATTTCTGTGTCTACAAAGTCACTTTCTTCTAAACATAGCATTTGCTAAAAAATGATTTTCCATCTTAAAGTGCATTTAATTGTAGTAGGCTTATGAAAAGCTTTCTAAAATCATCTCATATCAATACGTCTGCTAATACTGTGGATCTTACTAGATGGAGAAGAAATCAAAATGCAGCTGTTAATATTAAGAAGTATAGAAGCCTTACCCAGCACTGTGGCTTATTAAAGATTATTACTTATGCACTTGGTAGTGATTTTTTCCATGAAAGAAAAGAGATTTAATAATATTGATGTCAACTGAAGAAATAGGAAAGAGTCTTTTGCTGTGTATAAAGTGGTTTTTCATCTTGTTGCAGCCAAAGTTGGTTTCCCCTACATCCAATTTCTGACGCAGGTAAAGTGAAAAGAGGGAGAGTGCTCTCGTGAAATGCTGGGAGGAAGGTGACGAAGTGGCTCAAGAGATCTCTTTCTCACTTCAAGAGATCTCAGTTTCTTTCTGTCCTTCAAGTTATTGTATACCAATCAGTAATTAGATTTATGTATTTTTTTCTGCAGTATTTGTAAATCTTGCAAATGACATTTTTTTCCATAGGAAGACACCTCAAGATGTATTTTTCAATGTGCATTTCAGAGTTAGAGAGGAACTCTTGCTAAAAGTGTGTTTAAAAAATTTAGTGATCAAATCCAAGCTTATTTGGCTCACTCTTTGATGCAATCCAGGTAGATGTAATAAACACAATACAGTACACAAAATATCAAATCCTACTAACGAGCAGAGCTTTGATTTAGCACTACCCTGTGCAGCTTTTTGGCAACCCTGAGATGGACCAGTGTGGGTTTATGTGGGCTGCAGTATGCCACAGGAATATGGAAGCTCCAACTCTGCAAAGATCTTGAATGTGGAAAAGAGTAAGGGAGCTAATTAGATAATAGCTAAATGATCTATTCATTTCAGTAAAGATAGGTCATAATTATCTTAATTTATTTCATAGAGAAAACTAATTACTTTTAATTGAGTAAGGACAAATTACAATGGCTTTTTTAATGAGTAAGTCCTACTTATTTCTGCCCAGAGACTCAAACATTGTTTTACGGAAGAATAATCTTTTGCTTTTGGCAGAAACTCTTATAGAAAAGCATGTGAAAAGGTTTGTTTTCATTTTTTTTAATACTACCTCAAAAAACTTTCTTTGGGGGATTTGAAAATTTATTACATAAAAATACGGCTTTTTGTGAGGCATTCAAGAAATTAATTGACATGAAACAATTGCAGTTGCCCAGATAGCATAAAAATGGAAGTGAGTTACAATAAGAGAGTTTAGGAACAGAAACCTGACACTACAAGTGAAATTGCTGAAGTTCTTTAAATAATCCTTTCAAGTCTGCTTTCATAAATTCAGAAAATGCTGTATACTTAGTACCTCAGGCTTTTTTTTTCAGTTTTTCCCTTCATAAAGAAAAGATTTCTCACAGAAGGAGAGGAAGCACTCTGCCTTTTAATAATGATGGTCTAGGGAGAGAATTGAAGTTGCCACTTTTTGTCTATTATCTGAATTACTGCTGAACAAATAATAATGAACAGCGGATACGTTTTTTTCTGGATTAGTACTTCCATTAGCCACTGTCCTCAAACTCCCTATTAATTTCATAGTCATGAATAATAGCAGTCTGGAGCAATTTCTGTTTGGAAATATGCTTACCTGATACTTGTTGGAAATTCATGATAATGTCCGAATAACAGTCTGTCTGTTTCTCATACCGTAATAGACCTTTCCTTTTTGTGTGGATGTCACTGTTAGGATTTTTAAAATCTAAATATTTAAAGATATCTGATGAAAATTATTTTCTGCAAATTGCAAGCAGTCACTGGTTTGCTTTTCCTTTGCTTCCCTGCCTTTCGCTTTATGCTCTCAGTCTAACTTCTACTTTATCTGCTTGTTAAACAATCCCCAGCATTGACATTTCACCTTTTTCTCTGCAGCAGGCTATCAGCCTTTCCTTATCTCTGAGCTTAGCAACACCATCAAAGAAAACATTTTTTCATACCCAGCGCATTACATCTTAGTTGTATTTTATAGTATTGTCTAGTATTCATTCTAATCCATTAATTAAGCCTAGAATCTATTTTGAAAATAGATTCTGATTATAAGATGTCTTTTAAAGTAATAATTAATATTCTGAATATCCTGAACTGTGTCATTTTATTCATTACTTTTACTCATAAATAAATGACCAAACTTGACTTTCTTTTTATAAAGCCATGCTGGTTCATGTTTTCCACATAGCAGACACCCAGGTGTAAAAAGTCTAAAATGAAAAAACATGAAACCAAGTCATAAAAATAGTGAAGGTTTGAATTCATGAGCTTGAAAACCAAGTTTGTAGTTGGTGATGTAACAGTGGAGATTGTATGAAAGGTATGCAGAGAGAAGGATCAGCTTTATTCAGCAACACAGAATTTATTCTGTAGATGAGATTCAAGTGGTCTTAATAGGCTTAATAAAACCTTCTCTGAATGATAGAATAAGAATATATTAATGTATGTTGAAACATAAAGGGCAAGATCTCTTAAAGATGATGTGTGGAATGGTCTGTAATCATAATAATTGTCATGGAAGATTTTAAAAGAACTACTAGCTAAAGTGGTAAAATTATCTGAAACGCATGCAAGGTGATAATATGTTACTTATTTTCCTGGAGATCAGTTCTGACATAAACCATCTGTACAAATTTATGAATATTTTTGTCTTTAAGCCTTATATGTCGTCACAAAGAGCACTAGTTTTCTTTATATGTCTGTATCGTTGATGGAGGATTTATTGCCTGTATATATAGTTATAAAAGATACATGAAAACATTTTTAAAATGCCACGTGAATCAAAACTTCTATTATGTTCTAACTGGATTAAGATGTAGTAGCTTTTAAAAAGTACTAATAATTTAATTATCAATAAATATTTTTATATTAACAAAGCATACACAAACTTTCATTGCATCAATATTTCTGCTTTCTTTTTCCCCCAGGACACAGCATAGAACTATGATAGCAACCGGAGGAGTCATAACAGGACTGGCTGCCTTGAAAAGGCAAGACTCTGCCAGATCTCAGCAGCATGTAAATCTTGCAGCAGCACCAGCATGTGAGGAGAAGAAACCAGTCAGACGCCGACCCAGGGCAGATGTAGTCATTGTCAGAGGCAAAATTCGACTTTATTCTCCATCAGGATTCTTCCTTGTTTTGGGAGTGCTTATTGCATTCTTGGGAATTGCAATGGCCGTCCTCGGATACTGGCCCCAAAAGGAACAGCTTTTGGCATCTGAAGATAGTGTATCAGTTAATGAAACCCAGCTCCTAAGAAACCAAGGAAGCATTTTACTTCGTTTCTTTGAGCAGCATGTGCACTCGGATAAGATGAAAATGTTGGGCCCTTTTACCATGGGTATTGGAATCTTCATTTTTATTTGTGCAAATGCCATTCTACATGAAAACCGCGACAAGGAAACAAAAATCATACACATGAGAGACATATACTCCACTGTAATAGACATCCACACCTTGAGGATCAAGGAACAAAAGCAGTTGAGTGGTGCCTTTGCTGGTTTGTTAGGGGAAGGAGAACTCAGGCACAGTGGGAGCTTGTGTGCATCCCGGCTGGCCGCTAACACGATTGCACCTTTCTCTGGCTTCAAAAGTAATTTTAGAATGGATAGTTCTGCTGAAGAAGATGAAATTACTCTAAATGAAGATAGGACCACTGCTAGCCTACTACCACCTCTGCTGACTGACCAGTCTGGTTCAGTCTTGGGACTTTGCCCTCATTCCAGCAAGGCTTCAGATGACAAAAATACTAGTTCTATAAGGTGTGAAACAAAATCCATTGTATCATCTTCCATTAGTGCTTTCACACTGCCGGTAATTAAACTGAATAATTGTGTTATTGATGAGCCCAGTATAGACAACATAACTGAGGACTCTGAGATCACAAGGAGTCGGTCCAGAAATCTCTCGATGGACTCTTTGGCCATTCCATTAACTGATACCAATGAATCCTGCAAGCCGGCCATGCTACCACGACATAATTCATTTGTGGACACTCAACATGACCAGTTCAAGTCTTCTGTGATCCTCGGACCAAGCACAGGAAAGCTTTTATCCCCTGGTGCTGCCAGGAAACAGTTTGGTTCCAACACATCTTTGCATCTTCTGTCTTCACATTCAAAGTCCCTGGATTTGGACAGGGGTCCATCTACACTCACTGTCCAAGCTGAACAAAGGAAACATCCCAGCTGGCCCAGGCTGGATCGGAGCAACAGTAAAGGATATATGAAATTAGAAAACAAGGAAGACCCAATGGATAGGCTACTTGTGCCACAAGCAGTGATAAAAAAAGACTTTACCAATAAGGAAAAGCTTCTTATGATATCAAGATCTCATAATAATTTGAGTTTTGAACATGATGAGTTTTTGAGTAACAATTTAAAGCGGGGAACTTCAGAAACAAGGTTTTAATATTTAAATTGGAATCTACAAGATATCATACAGTATTTAAAAAACAAAACAAAACATTTTGACAAGTGTTTCCTTTTCGGTGAAAATTGTACAAGCCGGTTTTTAACCAAATGCTTAATAGCATATTAAAATTGGCTTGTGCAAACAGATCTTCATCTTTGTAAGGCCAAGTTTTTTGTCATAGTACCATACAGTTGCAATATTGTACATTATCAGTGCTCAGAGAGTTTTGGTACAACTGTTCCAAATTTTTTCCAACTCATTTTTCCTTCTGTTCTATATAGGCATGTTAGTTTCTACCAATTTGACTCCAAAAGCCTGCATTAGAATAAAAGCTCAATTTATTTATAAGTTCTTTTATTTAACAACTGCAATACTCTAAAAATTGTATTCATGTTCTAGAATGGGAAGTGAGCCGCAGTTCATACTGGAATTGTTAAATTCAGGCCTTTATCCTGGGTGTTGTCTTTCACATATGGTACATCTCAGTAACTATAATCTTGCCACTATCATTTGAGAAACTTGTTTACATATTGAGGTGGGTGGTTAAAGAAGAGTGAGTATAATTAAAAACATTTCTGTTAATTCATTGTTATTGATCAAGTTGAATACTAGTGTTGTGAATTGTTTACTATACTTTGTACAACAATGTTTCTACATACATTATAATTTATATAAACCAGTAATTCCAGGAAAAAATATTAAAGAAATCTGAAAATCCTTCTGGGGTCAGCTCTCTAAAGCACTTTGATTGGCAACAGTTTTAAAATCAAACTATTTGGATTCATTTAAAATCATAGGAACATAATGATTACATGATTTTAGAAATGTGATATATAGTAAAATGATATTGTGACATTATTACGAAGAGAAAAATGGAAAGTGAATATATTGCCTCTCAATAGCAAGAAGATAAATAACTAGATCTCTATGGTCATAATAGCTGATACAAAGCATACAACTCAATATGCCTACTAACCCAGTACGAAAGCTCCTTGCCTGAATTTTGCTTTAGATTTCACATTGGCACGGTGGATCACTGAAAGCTTAGCTGAGTAATTTGCATTACAAGATTTTGCAAAAGTTTGTGACATTTGGAACAATATTCTTCTCATCGCAGCAAACTTCTCAGTTGGCAGTTGTAGGCTGTTTATAAATAAAGTGAGAATTGGAGTGTGCATACCAGAAAGTTTTCATTCATTTCATTAAGGTATTTGGGCTTTAATCCTGCCATGACTGCCGTGGTAGAGAATGTCACTTCTGGTTGCAAGGCTCACCTAGCAGGATGCTGGTCTTAATTGGTCACTTCGGATATGTACACTTAACTTAAATGCTCAGGAATTATTTTAAAAGGCTTTTCCCAAAAAGAATCAAACCTGTAAAAACGTTGTTGTACTTCAGTTGGTTATGAAAGATCAAAGATAAAAACATTCTTTTTTTTTTTTTAATATTCAGCTCCGAGTTTCAACTGCGCAATGTTTATGTATCAGGAGCATTACTTGCTCAGTGAATTGAGGCGTAGTGTTAACTATTAGAACCTCAAGCCTGTATATTGTAATAAAGTTGGCTAAATATTTTGCTATGAAGCTTTTAATAACTTTCTGGTTTGTGTTCTTAAGACATTTGCTATTTTTTGAAACAAAAATAAAATGTGTATCTATGTATCTTATCTATGTAAGACATTTTTTCCTCAATAATCTCAATTCTTCCATTTTGAAGTATAATTAGGTATCATAGTGCTGTAAATAATATTATGCTAAATACATTAGCCCGCCACTAGATATTTGACTATGACTGTCAGTGATACCTCTTCATATGTAGAGGCTGAATTTACTGCTCTTCTGATATTTATTTTTTTAACGTAGTATGAAATTTATTCAAAATGCTTTTGATAAAAGGAAATTTTTTATTACAAGAACATCCTGTCCTTTTTAGTTTCACAATAAGGAAGCTTAGACACTATTAGACACTACTATAAGACACTACTATTAGGCACAAATGACGTAAACTTTTATTTCATGAATAGTTAAATTAAGTCTTAGCTTAAAAGACTATTTGTTTTTGCTCCCTGTTGTACATGAGAATTGTCCTTTTTGTAGGTATGTCAGGTATTGGGCTTTTAATTATCACATTACACTATCTGGTACTGAAAAACTTACTTCAGAAAAAAATTACCTGCTTGGGAAACCAAGTTGAAGTCAGTGACTTAAATTAGCAAGAAATTAAAATAGCAAATACAAAGAAGTTGTGTGATTGACAAATTGATTACAGAAAGATTCCCAAATTACCCTAAAATTGAACATTTCATTCAAGTAATGACATGTAGAAGTTCCAGAAATGATCTCATCTACTAAATATTAAGTAACATGATAACTCTTCAAAGTAACAATAACCTTGTTTTGCTGGGTTTTCAGATTCCAGACTTTAAAGATGTGTGCCAAATCATTCATAAGGCATAAAGTCTAAGGTGCTGAGTCTGATGAGAGGTATAATGTTTTTAAAACATTTCCAGGACTCTATTTCTGCCCAGATACACTAACCACAAGGTTAGGCATCAGTCTGGAAATGAAGGGCATTGCATCTTTCCGTATTCCTTGAATGGTTCTGACTCAGTCTAGTCAGAAAAACTTGTAGACATTCAAGAAGTGTGGTCACTAGCCTTCATATGTAGAGGTCAGAAACCTACACCGCTACAGGTGCAGCGGTCTGAACTCTCTGTTGCCCAAATTCGGATGGCAAGTAAGGACCCTGATGAAGACAGGAATGTGTCCTAAATCTTGTTATCTTTAGAGAATAAATATTATATTCACTCTTGCTGATTCAGTTCACAGACTTTTTTTATGGATGTTGCTCATTTCGGTTATTGATGCTCTATACAGCCCCCACAGTGACAGTACAACTGCAGGATGAAAACGAAGCCAAAGACAGGAAGCTTTAAACTAGCTTTCTTATCAGGGAAAATTAAGTGTACAACTGCACAACAAGCCTTTACATGCAATAAGAAGCTAAGCCTTATATCTAGCACTCTGAAGATGTTATGGTACAGCATTTTGAAAGTATTAATCCAGGAGAAAATTGTTGATATTGTACAAGCAATGAGCTCAGCTCCTTCCTCTGCATAAGTCCATCTTTAAAAAATGCACATTTTCTTTCTCATACATAAGCATCATCTTAATCAGTCCATGGCTTAGGATGATATTATGATCTGTCCCTTCCTCCTGACAAAGCTCATCAGGCAAGACATCATTAAATAAAGAGTATGGCTGCAGTGATGGAGCAGAAAGGCTGAGTTGTGTTATCCCTTCCAGGATTGCTTCTGTTCTTCCCATAGAGTACTCACTGGATAAAAATCTTGAAGCAGGGCCTGTGCTCTAGCCCCACTGATATTTTAACTGCTCCTCTGCAGAGCCCAGTTCACTCTCCCTGTGAGCCAGCGAACTCAGCTGTTACACACAGAGCTGAACAGAGTTCAGCAGCTGAGGCTATTAAGCACACAGCTGCAAATAATATGGTTTAATAAAGGGGAAGGTCTTGGCTTGAGGCTTCTCAGTAGCAAAAGGATTTTGGTATGGTGTTCCTTATCCTGACAGCGGATCTGATGCTTATGCTGTGTAAATGATGGAAAGGTAAGCTGATGTTCACCAATCTGGTTCTGAAGGAAAATGGAAAATAATGTTATAAAAACAATTTTGGAGTCTACTGGCTTTGGAGGTAGGCATTTACATCTGTCCCTAATCGTATACTAGACAGCTACCTAATTTTGGTGTAACTATATTCGAAAGACTTCTGTAGATGCTGATTTTAAAATATAGAAATACAAGTCCTTCAGTTTCTCCTGAGTGAAATTTGGGAAACAGTTTCAACTTGAAGCGTGTCTTCTCTCTCAATAGCTTTTATGGTAGATTTTGAACTCCTGGATTGCTTTAGTCTTAAATTCTTACAGATATGCTTGTTCTTTCTAGAAGAGTTTCTATGGTCCTTTTTGGGGAATTCTGCCTTTTATCTTCCCAACACTGCCTTTTCTCTGTTTTTTATTTTCGTGCCAAATATAATAATATCATGAATAAGTAGAAATACTTAAGCAAGACTGTGTGCGTGCATACATGAAAATGCAAATGGTATAAGTGGCCTATTATAATACAGGAGTGCTTCAATTAGTATGACTTAGCTACTCGTAGGCAAGTTCATGCTCTTTGTCAAACCAAACTGCAGAGAGAATTAGTTGCAGTTATCAGAGATATCACATGTTAGAACAACATGCCTAGAATAATCTTGTAGGTATTGATATTTATTTCTGGGGATTTTCTATTTTTAAATTCACCACACTAGTTGCTCAGTTATCCTGTGATTCACCGTAGAACAGGTTTAACACAGATCTTTCTGTTCTCAGAATAGGTTTATGCTATGTAGGAAATATTTGTTTTAATCTCTGAATACACATTTTTTCTCCACTGTTATTATTAAATTTCAGCTCATTAAGACAACTCAGTGTTCCTTCTCATCACTCTCTGATTAACAGTGCATCCCTACTTAGGCTATGTTAGCAGTCAGTGCAGCCCAACAGGAGCAGATCTGCAGCTGGAGATGGGGTCCCATTATCCACAGCATATGCATTTCAGAGGGTTTTCTTCAAACTAGCTCCCACCTGGTCCTGTTAGACTGAATGTCCACTGTCCACTGAAACATGTCTCGTGCTCCTGGAGCACATCTTGTTTTTCTCTCGCAGGAACCAAACCAATGCTATGAGGTTGTTCTTTGATGCACTGCCACATCCTCTGAGGCACTCAAGGCCAGGTTGGATGGGTCCCTGGGCAGCCTGATCTGGTGGGCCACAGCCCTTCCCATGGGAGGGGGATGGAACTGGCTTTAAAGTCCCTTCCAACCCAAGCCAGACTGAAATTCTGTGATTGCATGAAATGAAGTATGGTACACGTGCCATATGGTAAGATTAACTGCATGATGAATCCTTGAAAAACTCCATTAATTTCCTCACTGAAGCCTCATGGTAGCTACCCCTACCAGCCCATCTTGCCACTTCTCAATTTGACAGTGAATACTCAGCTCATTTTTCTTCTCCTAATTCTCTTAATTTCCAGTATAGCTAATAATTTCCAGTGTATTTCCAATGCACTATGTATCAAACCTTTTAGAAGACAGATGAGATATATTACATATTTTACCTAGGAAATTGTTATTATTTCAAAAAATATTGATTTAGTGTGATATGATCTGTCTTTGACACATCTCAGCATTTGATCTTATTTCCCATTCTCAGTTTAGGTCTTTGTCTTAAGCCTACCATCCTATCTGGATCAGGCTTATATGTGTCCAGATAGCTCCTGTCCTTCTTTCTGCATTCTGTAAATGCAGTTTAAAAGATTACTGTTATTACTATTTTCATTACTTATTGGCTTCCATCTCTCTCAACTCACTTATTGAAATTCCGTGCAAAGATGTGTTTTCATTTGCCAGCTTTTTCAGGCAACTGTAACAGAGATTGTGCTTCCACAGAGTGAGAGCATTCAAGGCTTTAGCATTCTCACAGGTGAAGATTTATACATCTTCTGTTTTCACAGTTTTATTTCCTTCAACTTTTTCTGTCTCCCATTTCCAGACTTTTTTTCCTCCTATTCATCATACCTTTACGCCATTTCTGGAATAATGCACACAGCTGAAAAAAAAGAGACAAAGATAGCCTACACCTAAGTGATAAAACTGGAATGAGCTTGTCTCTTTTTATGTTTTTATGCTTTTTTTTTTTCTTTTGCAGTTTCTTTCTTTTATTTAAAGATTAATTAATGAATTAAAAAAAAAAAAAAGTTAAAGGGCAGTTAGGTTTTCAAACTTTTTCAGAAGCTTCCTATAGTGAGGGTATAAGTTTGTATCTGTTGGTTTGGAAAAGGTCTCCTTTACCTCAAATCCCTAGCCTTCTTGTCTGGCTGATTTCAATAATTTATTTTCTTCTGAAGTTATCAAAATTTGTTCAGCTCAAGTCAGCACCTTACTTGGAGTCCCCTGTAGTTTATCCTTGTTCCTTGAAGTTAATTGGATCAGCTCAGGGGTACTTGAGTGAGTGTGTAGGAGCATCTTGTCTATGATATACCCAGCACTTAACAAAAGCCAGTCAGTGCTTTCTGTGATGACTGTTTGTGGTGACATCTGTTCACTCTTCTATCTAGGTGTCTCTGCGCTTGGTTGTCATAGCCATCATTTGTTCACAGTCTTATTGCTTCTCGGAAATTAAGTTTTCTACAAGGCAAGGATAAAAATTCAAAGTGAAGGCAAAGCACTAATCAATGTACATCTGCTTTTAGTTCATTCATCACAGGGAAAAATATTCTCGTGCCTTCTTGCCATTTGACTTTCTGAAGGCTTAAATATTTGTGCACTACATTCTTGATAATAGCCAAAACTGAGTATCTAGGATGAGAGTATAACTTTGTTACGCAATGGAAAATATTTTCAGTATTATTCTCCATACTTGAGTCACTTTTTTTGTCTGTTGCATTTTTCCAGTGGGATGTTGCCACTGCTGTGTCTTGTTTTTCTGTGTAAATGCAGTTAGTTTTGAAATGATCGCAGTACAGAACCACTTCACATAACTTTCCATGGTGCATATCATTGCATTTTTTGAATAATTCTAAATTTAAATATATCCTATTCTACCTT